GTGACATATGAATATGAAATCATATTAACAGTGATATGTACATGTGAATGTGTGAAATGATAAATAATAATGCCCATGTTATATGTCATGAGGGCTAGAGGTATAGTTGACATGCCAAGAGTCGAGGGTTCTACGTGGTCCTTCGGGACATTTCATAGTGGTCCTTCGGGACAAATTCACATGCCCCTAGTGAAACCCCCTACGAGCTGTAGTGACAGCATAGTGCACAACCTCAATAGACTCACATATCTACAGTCTCAAATGTACATGGGCTAATAAAGAAATAATAATAAATACAATATATGTGATATGTATGTTTGGTAATGTGAATGTGTTACATAAATTACATTATGACATGCTTGCTACTTAGTGTAGTGATATACGTGTTACATGATGTGTATATGGTAAGGTAGAAGGATAATATGATAAAAGGAATTAAGGATATGTATATGTATGTATTTGTGTTTTGATGCATCATGTATTCTTTAGTGTATTATGATTACATGAAGTATGCATAATAGGAATTAGTGATGATATGTTATAATTTATGCCACACTAAGTCATCGACTTAGCGTGTGAGTGTTTCACACGTAGGTTCCGGAAAGCGAAAAGGGAAGCTAAGGGAAACAAGACAGAGGTCAACACCTCCTTTCCAATAATCAGATCAGCAATTAATTGAATCATATGTATTTTTATAATTCTGATTTTAATTGGCATGTTAATAAAGATTTGAATCAAATATGCTCTGATAGGTTTTGTAAAACCATTATTTTATATAATGTAAATTATTATGTTTTATTATAAAGGACAAATTACATTTTTAGTTGTTTTGTAAAGGCGAACGATTTGAAAAGTCAATGTGGTACCTCGGACTCTGATTCGGGTCGGATACGGGTTGGGGGTGTTATAGTTAAAGATTACTAAAATTGATAAAAAGATATTATTTGAGTATAATTCTTTTTACATAGAAGAGTTTTAGTATTAAGATGATTCATGAAATAACTCTCTGAGCATAAAATTGAAAAAGAGTTCATTAAAATAATGTTTGAATGTTAAAATATTTTGAGAGTTTTATAACTTGACCTGACATCCATAATATACCTACAATCAATATTAGATATTGAAAGAAATATTAAGCATTTTTTGAGAAATTAAAGTTTATAATGACTTTTGATTATAGTTTATCGAAAAATTTCCTACAATCTTAAAAGGATATTATGATTATGTAACTGATAATGCATCGATAAACTTTTGCTAGTGGGTATGTGTTCATCTTGAGTGGAGCAACTTTTGTGAAAGCTTTTTTATTTTTATAGCACTATTGTGAAGTCTAAGATGCTAAGTGAAGACTTAGTTATGTAAGAGGTTTAATGTCTTAGGAATCTATCTTAAAGAGAGAAAATTATTTATCTTTTATGATTTTACGTGACTCGTATAAGTGATTTAAAATCAAGCCTACAATGAATAGAGAAGGCATAAGTCCGTAAAATAAAATGATAGTACTTTGAGGTACAGGAGTTTTGAAGAGAATTTATATTGATCTCTTAACTTAAGAGTTAAAATGAAAAATGATTAATGATTAATGATTTATCAAGGGGATAGGTCTTAAACCCATTTGGTTGAGGAATTCATGGTGGACACCCAACTTAGTCTTCTAAGTTCAATGTGGTCAAACGAAGACATAAAAAACTCATAGTGTACATTCTTACCTATCCTTATAGCAAATAATGTACATACATAAGAATGAGCTTTTGCTCTTGATGGATTTATAGCCCAAGTTTTTGGTAGTCCTAGTGAGAAGGACTTATGAATCCACCAACGTGAAAGGATGAGCTTTACACTTTCAATGAATTTATAGCTCATGATTTGGTTTGGTCCTAGAGAGACAGACTTGATGAATTCACTAGCATGAGATGTTGAGTTTTACTCTCTTAGTGAGTTCATAGCCCAGGATTTAGGTGGTCCTTTTGAGATGGACTTGATGAAATCACCTACGTAAGTGTAAAGAACTAGTCAACTTCTATGAAAGATATTGGGCCGTCTTTCTATAGCACTATGAGCATACGGAGGTATTATTTGGCAAAATTTTTTAACTATTGTGAAACTCAAATAGATCTGAGATTAGTCGTGTGTATGAGTTAACCCTAATATTAACAAGTTCAAGATTCATTTGCTTGCAAGAATTACTCATTTCACTATGTACTAGTTTAAATCTAACAAATACTAGTGCTTAAGCGACTAATTTCGCCGTTGCTCTTTTGTTTTAATTCTTTTTGGGTCTCTATTTCTTTGCATTAGTGAGGGATTGTTGGTTATATATAATAATGCAAAGAAATATAATTAATTTCATTTGAATTTTAAATTTTAAATTAATTCAAATTTAATGGTAGAGATTATGGGAGCAGTTGAGATTCTGAAAGATTTTTTTGATGATTTTTCTCTTTACTTTTTTACCTAATTACCATTTTAGCTATAAAAGGTGGCTCTCTCCTTTTTTTAACTCACTCATCTCTTCTTTCTCCTCTCTTCTTCTATATTTTCTCTCTTCACAAGTATAGTGAAGTTTTTCCTTTTCGGTGGCTTTTGATTTTTTTATTCCGTTAGTATTTACTCCGGATAAAATATTTTTATTTCCTCCAAAAAGAGCAACACTATTCAGAATTTCACTTCTTTATTTCGGGTGTACGAAATTCGGAAGACTGTGTTAACCTTGAGCAGCAACGTCCATTTTCGGAATTACACCAATCCGGACGAAATTGCTTCTAAGGTAGTGATTACACGACACAATGATTATATCATCTTTATTTTATTTATTTATTATTTATGTTAGTCAATGCTAACATCTCATTTTGCAGCAGTATGTTACTAACACAGTGAGCCTTGGAAACACTAATATAATAATGTTGGATTTCAATGAAGCATCTAAACTACTCAACGAGCTTAAAGGGCCAAGAATCGTCAAAGATATTGATCATGCCAAAAATGAAACGTTGAATAATGCTCGATTTCCAAAGGAGCAGCAAAGACAGGTATTAATAATGAATTTTCTGATGCAAAGAGATCTAACTGAGTTCAAATTGTTCCTACAAAAATTGGTGATCTTGCAAAATCTTTATTTCCTTTGAAGGAAAAGTTGGAAGTTCTTGTTCATGGTGGAGAACAAATGACCCTTATGAGAGGGCTTTGGAAATCTAATCGCAGCCCAAGTGGAAAGGAAACACACGGTTTCAACATCAAGTGTTTCCTTGATTTAGAGGTGACAAAGCTTTGCAAATTATCTTAGAACACGGTGAAAAGTTATATGCAATTATTCAGCTCAATGAACTACATAATGTGATCAGCCAAAGCCGTTCTCAAGTTGACTCGACTTTTTCATGTTTTGAAAATCAAGTTTCAGCTGTTCTTCAAAATCTGATTCAATTTGTAGGGGAGAGGGCCACCCGAAATAGTGTCCTGATGATGGGCAATGATCATGCTGAAATATTTTATAGTAAGATATCAGATCTGATTCAAGTCCTTAGGATTTGTAAACTCTCTAATACCTGTGTTACTCCATTTCAAGATGCCATGCAATACAAGAATGAGAATCATCAAGGGTATTTATCATTAGAGGGTTCAAAACCTTGGTATTTTCAACCACTGGTACGTAAGGGGCTGTGGAGCATTGCATCTGTCATGTTTCATCTGTTAAAAGAGAGATCCAAACTCGATATGTTAGTAAAATCAGAACTACATTCTCTTCCTAAAGCATTGGCTGAAGTTATTCTTGAGGTATCTAGTGCTGCTACAAATGCAAAAGCTGAACGAGGAGAAGGAAACAAAGGTCTTTTAAATAAGTATTAGAGTAGAATGGATGCAATTCTTGATTTCCTTTATCAACAGGTTAAGAAATTTGTAGAGGTTGGTTATCAAGACTTGGTGGACAACACGAAAAAGAGCATAGGAAAGATCCTTAGAAAACTATCTTTGAGCTTGTTGACAATAGCAAAAAGGCAAGAAGGCTACCAGACCATGTGGAACATAGGTGGTGATCTCAATGATTCAAGGTTACTTAAAAATCTCATGAAGGGTAATCGAGCTGTTCTTAAGGTGGTAAAGCATGTGAGCGTTAAAGAAATGTTTGGGAAGACAATCATGCTTGTAGGACATGGAGAGAGCATGGAGGACCTTGATCCTTTCTATGCATGTGTGGGAGGCGTCGCGTACAAGTTGGACAATCACATACCTTCTTTTTCACTGTGTCATTAATGATCTCAATCAATTAACAAAATTATTTAATATTTTTTTCACGTCATTTACACGAATTTTATTTCCCAAATCAATTTGTCTCATTAATAAATACTAAAATTAAACCTAAATTTAAGAAATGTCCATAAGGTTATCATTTATGTATATAAAAAATATTCCTTGAGATTATCAGTTCGAATAATTACGTTTGCAAGATGTGTATTGTTAATGGTTAAGAAATATTATGAACAAATATTACTTATAATCACCCGCACTATTACGCTTGAAATAGGGACTTATAAAACCTTAAAATCAAAACCTTTTAAATTTAAGGTTTAGAGATAAAAGTTATTACGCTTAAATTATGAAATAGTAATACAAATCAACTTGAAGCTTTAGATGTAAAGCACTCAAAATTATTATTATATAATAAATATGAAAGATAAAAAGAACTGAATATTTAAATTCATTATTAAATTATGTTTCTTCTCTCTTCCTTCTTTATTCCATTATTTCTTAATAAAAAAATTATATAATCAAAGGAAAACACTTTTATTTCTTATATCCATATGATACATATTAATATCAAGAATTTAGATCATAAGTTTTAGGGTTTTAAATTTTGTGGCTTAAAATTTTAAGTTTTAAGATTGTTTTTCTGATGCACGAAATAATTTACTTTTGTAGTTAAAAGAATCGTTGTTTTTCTTAAAGGTTGTGGATTTAAATATAAGTGATTGACCGTTTATTATCAAATGAAAATCTTATTTTTAAACAAATGTACCTCCACCAGCTAAACACAAACCAATACAAATAACAATATGAACAATGATGACTAGAGATGGATCAAGGGGTGTTGGTGGGTGCACACCTCTTAGAAACTTTAAATTTTTTTAATATATTTTATTAATTATCTAATTTTACACTACCTAAATTTTTATTATTATTTTTTAATTTCACACCTAAATTTTTATTATAACTTTTTACCTACATTTCTACGCCCGTGATGAATTCATATATTAGTGGCTGACGGTGACACCATTTTCTTTCACTTCATTGGCAGCCAGCGCCATCCCATTCTCTTTTACTTCTTTAACGCTTTCTTCTTTGTCTTCTTCCCCAGATTTTTGCTTCTTTTTTTCTTCTTTCTCCGCCATTAAACGAGCTTCATCCTCTGCCTTCTTCTTCTTCGCATCTTTAATAGCTTCGATCAATCTCTTCAAACAAGTTTCCACTTCGTCATAGTTCGATTTCGGCATCAAATTCTCTGCAACATCAGCTGGAGTCATATCGGTGTCCCCCAACAATGTTTCGATTTCTCCAAACAATGAATGAGAATCAATCTCCAAATAGTTCTTGGCGAACACCTTGAATGCATCGAAGCAGCAATAAGACAGTTCAATGTATTTATCCATTCTTCCTCTCCTTATCAATGCCGGATCGAGTTTCTCCACATAGTTCGTTGTAAAAACAATGATTCTTTCACCTCCACAAGACGACCAAAGTCCGTCGATACAATTCAAAAGCCCCGATAATGTAACCTTGCTTTCCTTTTTCTCATCTTCTTTGGTCTTTTTCGTGATTGGATCCGACAGGTCATCATCTTTTCCTTCATTCTCCGCCTTCTTTTTCTCCCTTTGGCCTGTGAGATCGAGGGAGCAATCGATATCCTCGATCACCACGATCGACTTGTTCGACGTATCGATCAAAAGCCTTCTCAATTCCGCGTTCTCCTTCACCGCGGTGAGTTCGAGATCGTAAACATCGTAGTCCAGTAGGTTCGCCATCGCCGCGATCATCGAAGATTTCCCGGTTCCGGGAGGACCATAAAGAAGGTATCCACGTTTCCAAGCCTTCCCGATTCGAACATAATAGTCCTTGGCGGTACTAAACTTGATCAAATCGTTCTTGATTTCTTCTTTCAAGTTCGAGTCCATCGCCAATGTATCGAACGTCGCAGGATGTTCGAATGGTACATTGCTCCACTTGCTCCTCCGATATCCATGCCAGTCCTTGCTGGGATTGTTCGAATAGAGCTTCCGTCGTCGGTTTCTCGTCGCCGTTTCCTTTCCTTCCTTCAACACATGGCTAATATAAGATTGTGTAATTATTTCCCTATGACGTTTATGGACCGTAAGCGTGTAAGATCTCTTCTCATCATCATCGGGAAACCATGAAATCCGTTTAGTGCTTGGAAGAGTTCTGTTTACAGACCACCAAACTGTAACACCTTGAAATTCATCAGTGACTTCTTCATTATAATCCATAGAAAGTACTACGTTTTGAGTATCTTTCACGACGTTGGCCTTGAGACGCTTCGCCGACGCCGCCGACTTGTCGCCGAGATACGATTTGATCGCCAAATAGGCTTCACTCTTCTGCAAAAACTCGCCGGTGAACTCATCGAAGGTGATTTCTACATAAGGATATATAAAACTAACACTTTTTCTGAAATATTTTTCGAAATAGAGCTGAAGATGACGAGGAAAAAACTGTTTAAAAAGGGTATAAATAAGCATCAAAGTACCCATTGTGGAGCCTAAATTCAACATTTCTCCCATCATCACCATTTTTTCTACAGAATATTTCAAGAACTTCGTCAACTTCCCTATATATAGGAGACGGAAATGGAGAACTGCTTATAACTTGTTGTTGAAGTTAGTAATTTTCCACACGAGTCGTGCAGAAAGTTTCTATGTAATTTCGAAAGTAGTCATCTGGTCTTTGTTTATTCGAGCTTAGTAAAGTTGTTTGTCTCTATGTAGGCCGCCATTAACGACCACTGGCTTATTAGATTAAGAAAATGGAGGAAACTAATAGGCAAGCACCGTTTAGCAACTTAATAAAGCCAAAAAGCTTGCATTTGGACTTTAAGAGCAACAAAAAAGAGTAATAGAAATGTCTGATTCTTCTATATTATCAGATAAAGTTACATAAATTCTTCTTCCGAAGGTAAAGATTCAAACTTTAATTACCCGTAAATATTGAATATAATGATAAAATACAATCTACTGTTAGTAAAATTATTTCTAAAATCAAAATTTAAAAATAACATTATTGTGAAGATCATTTTATATTATTATTAATTTTATTTATTCTTTTTAAATATTTATATTCGACACTTATATCCAATATCAATATTAAAAAGTAGGGTAAATTACACCATGTGCCACTAAACTTTGTTTGTTAACTCATTTATACAACTAAGCTTTCAATTTTGCCAATTATATCACTAAACTTTAGTTTTACGTTCAATTATGTCACTCCGCTACTAAGCCACTAACAAAACGATGACATGACTAATGGTTGTTGACGTGGCATGTCACACCCAAACAACATCGTTTCGATGCGGTTGTTATGATACCTAAAATGATGTCGTTTTAGACATTAAACTTTAAGAGTATATCGATTGTAATACCCCAAACATCAGGTCAGTGACTAAATAGTAAGGATTAAAAATTTAATGGTTTAAATTTGGTAAATTGAAAAGTTTAAGGACTGATTTTTGAAATTTGTGTATAGGACTTATTCTTAAAGCTTGAAGATTGGAAGGGTATTATGGCCTTTTAGCAGGAAATGAATTTAAAATTCATTTTTAAAGGATATTAAACATGTGAGAATTAGAGAATAAGGAAAGAAAAGTTTGGAAGCACTTTGGTTATCTTCTATTCTTCTTCTTTCTTCCACCGTGACTCCATTGCTAAGGTAAGAAAAATTCAAGTTGGTTGTTTCTTTAATTTGTGGGTTGGTTTTGAAGCTTTGAGTGGTATAGAATATTAAGGAAGCTTAAAGATGAAAAAAAATTAAGTGATTAAGGAATTAAGGATGAATTATTAAAATAAGTTTTTAAGTGAATGGATGGAATTTGGTTAGTAATTAAATTCTAAAGGCATATTTGACTTGCCAGTGGTCTAATTAAGGTATTTGAAGTCTTATAACTGATTAAGAACATGTTTGAATATTTGATATGATTTTTAGTTTTAAGTGTTCCATAGAGAAATTTGGATGTTAAAAGGGAATTAATGGATTTAAGTTGGTTATGATAAGTGTTAGTAAGTTTAAGGGTTTGATTGAAGCTAAAAGTATGAGATTTAGGTTAATTATGGGTAAATTCGAAGTGAAATAGGTAAATTCTAGGCAAGGGTATCAGTACTGGAAGAACATTACCGATACTATAAGGTTAAATTGAAGGAAATAGTATGAGTCATATGAATAGTATCGATATTGAGTGAAGTAAGATCGATACTGATGTGGAGGTATCGATACCAAGGGTGAGGTATCGATACTATAATTGAAGATGAAATTTCAGAATACCAAAATGGTATTGGTACCATAGAAGAGAAGTATCGGTACTGTGTGTAGAGTATCGATACTATGCAGTCTGAAATTTTAAATTAAGGGTTTCATTTCATTTATGTAAGTGCTAATTGGTTATCCGTTAATGGAAATTCGATACTGATATCGGACATATTGATGTGTACATAAATTGTATTTATGAAGCATTGTTATGATTTTTATTAATATGTGAATGTGTTTTATGTGAAAAGGTTCTACGTGAATATATGCTATGTGAATGTGTTATATGTGAGTAAAGGATACTGTAAACAATGTAAAATGAATTAATTATATGGTTAAAGCCCATTGTATATATATATAAAAATTAGAGGTATAGTTGGCATGCCAAGAGTCGAGGGTTCTACGCAGTCCTTCAAGACAAATCTATGTGGCACTTCAGTGCATATTCTATATGGCACTTCGGTGTAAATTTTAAGAGTAATGGTGACTGCAATTGTAGTGCACAACATCAATGTACTCACATACCTTGAGTTCTCAATAATATGAGTTGGGCTAATAAAACAAATTGGTATAATTTGAGCAATGTCTAACAGTATACAAGGTTTTCATGAAGTGTGTCTTGTATTCTGTATGCAAGTATTTTTAAATGTGTTATTATGCTCCTTATTGCCTCACTAAGTCAACGACTTAGTGTGTGATTGTTTCACACGTAGGTTCAAAGAGATTAGAGGATTAAAGCTAGGAAGGGACAACATTCACTTAAAGAAGATCGATCAGAACAATTTGAATTGTAGGTTTATTTTCATTTTGTAAGTTTGTTGGCATGTATCATCAAGTTTTAAATTGCAATGCTCTGATCAGTTTTGTAATCATACTATTTTACATTTATGTAAATTATCAAGTATTGAATTTCATTTTGAAATATGGATTTCAATATTAACTTTTTTATTAAGGTTCATCCCCAAAAGTATAATAAAGTTTTTAATTTACATTGAATTTCCATATAGTCAAAGATTTTAAAAAGTCAATGTGACACCTCATATTTGTATCCGGGTCGGGATGTTACATTTATTGATATCAGAGTCAAGTTTAACTAATTTTAAGTTCGAAAAGAAGCAATTTATGTTTTAAAAAGTGTACATGCCAACGCAATGTTAAAAATTTCTGATCTGATAGGGTAATCAGTATGTTGTCCTTGCTAATATAGTTAGTGATTATATTTTAATAGATTTCAGATTACAAAGGCTCCCGAAGTGAAGCGGGAGATGGAAATGAGGGAAGTCGTAATGCACATCCCCCAGCTAAGGAAGGTGAAGAACAGACACCCCAGTGAGTGCCTGTGCAAGATCAGGGAGTATTTTTCAGGACGTTGGACGCGATTTTGACACGTTTCCAACTGTATGATCTCCCAGCTCTTAGGATGAATGTGGCTAAGGAGTTAAAGAGTTTAGGAGACCCGAGTTTAGGGGAGAAGCTAAGGAAGGTCCCGTTTCTACGGATCTTTGGCTTAACGATATAAAGATTATGCTTGAAAGTCTTTATTGTTCTGAAATGGAGAAGCTGGATGGATTAATCTAATTACTACAAGGTCAAGCTCGTATATGGTGGACTAATGTGACGATAAGATCTCTTAGGGACCAAGTAACATGACTGTTCTTTCTTGAAGAGTTCAAGAACAAGTATATCAGTGATCAGTTCATCAGACAAATGAAACAAGAATTCATGAATTTGAAGCAAGTGAATCACACTATGTATGATTATGAGTGTGAGTATGATAAGTTTAGTAGATTTTCAGTTGAATTGGTCTATTTGGAAAAAGACTCATTTGATTGGTTCGTAGAGGGTTTGTGTCATATATTAAAGGAGCTGCTGTTAGCGATGAATCTTTCTACATTCTATGAGGTTATAAATTGAGCTAAAGCCTTAGAGCGAGCTCAAAATGAAAGATATGGGGAGCAGAAGACCCAGTTGAACAGAGTGGGTGCCTCGTGGAGTGCATCGCAATCAAAGAAAAACAAAGGTTTGGGTTTTTGACCTCAGTCTAGATCTAAATCAGCCGCATCATCAGGAAGAGGATCAAACACTGTGAGAGTTAAGTGTACTCAATCTTCTGGATCAGGAGCGAAAAGGCCAAGTCAATGTCAGTATTATGGAAAAAATCATAGTGACATATATCGAATGGTCTCTGGATCATGTTTAAGATGTGGGGACATGTGACATTTTATTCGGGATTTTCCTTTAATGACTGGAGAGCCTGCACAGTCTGAGAGATCCGCTACTCTACCTCAGAGAGGTAGAAGACGAGGCAGAGGAAGGAATTAGTCTGAGTCGGCCTCTCAACATAAAATGCGCTCGACTGCTCTGGTCTACAATCTTAAGTCTAATGAAGATTGTGATGATTCAGACATCATTGCAGGTATTTTCTAGTTAGTTGATAAACCTATTTTGGTTTTGATTGACCTGAGATCAACTTAGTCTTATATTAGTAGTAAATTGGTGAGAAAAGTAAAAATCCAATTAGAAGTTATAAGTAATGATGTGATCATGACTAACTTGTTAAGGAATAGTGCTCGGGTGAATAAATTGTGACGAGGGTGTCCCATAAGGATTCAGGGAATTGAATTCTCTGCTAATCTAATGGAATTATCTAACATCGATTGTCGATTGAAGCGAGTAGTTTTGAAAAGTTATGATGGATCAGAAGTAATTGTGGTCAGTAAAAGATTTAATCCATTAGCTAATATGATATCGGTAATGCCGACCAAGAAGCTAATGTTACAAGGATGTCGATCTTTCATCACCAATGTGATTGATACTCGAGCCAAGGAGATGAGATTGGAGAACATTCTAACGGTCTGAAAATTTTCAGACGTGTTTCTAGATTAGTTACTAGTATTTCCTCCAGATAGAGAGGTGGAGTTTCAAATTGAGATAATGCCTGAAACGACACAAATTTTGATGGCACCTTATAGAATAACCCCAAATGAACTGAGAGAGTTAAAGGCTCAGTTACAAGAGCTATTGGATAAACGATTCATCAAGCCCAGTGTGTCACCTTGGGGTGCACCAGTGCTATTTGTAAAGAAGAAATATGGTTCAATGTGTTTATGCATTGATTATCGACAGCTCAACAAGGTGACAATAAAGAATAGATATCCTCTCCTAAGAATCGATGATTTATTTGATCAACTCAAGGGAGCTTCAGAGTTTTCCAAAATTGATTTGCGCTTTAGATATCACCAGATGAATATACAAGAAAAAGATATTCCAAAAATGGTTTTTAGGACTCGTTATGACCATTATGAATTCGT